TCCTGGGAGTGCACGCTGTAGCTGCACTCACGCAGTGACATGTAGGAGGAGATGTATGAAGGCAGCAGACCAGGATTTAAAGATGAAAATGTAACAGTGGGAGAGTCTGCGTGAAGTTAATGACGTCCAATTAACCAGTGAATACAGGGTGCAATGGTGGGTATGATAATCACAGCCAGTTATGAATTTTAATGCACCATGATAGACAGCATCCAACATCTGCAGGGTGCTTGTAGGAGCTTTCATGTAAATGATGACCCCGGAATCAATTGAGGGAAGGAAAGTTGCAGTTACAAGGCGTTTCCTAGCATTCAGAGTTAAACAGGATCCATTTCTAAAAAATAAACCCAATTTAACTTTCAGTTTCCTTACTAGGATGCCAGTCGACTTGTTCTCTTGTCAGGGCCGATTCTAGAATCTGACCTTTAGGGGTGCTTAGCCCCCAGTATTGACAATAGCTCTTGGCTTGAACAACGTACTGGCTATTGGCATCAGGTCTGGGGATCCTCCCCTAGAAAATTTTGAACGAAATGCAGTTTCCTGCATTCTGGTGTATTTTAACAGCTTTTAAAACATCTACATTTAGCTACATAAATAAACGCTTGATAGACTTTTTTCACTCTTCCATGTTTCAAAGCGGACGTGTCGCGCAACAATTTCCGGTGGCTATAGCATTAGCATTAGACAGTGACGAAAATGGCTCAGTCTCGCCATGGCTGTTTTTGATGAGTTCCTGGTTGTTATTATTATATGGCAAGAAAACAACCGTATCTGTCCTCCCATGCTTTCCCATGGACCCAGACCAAAGGAGGCAGTGGATCCAAGCGTTCAGAAGAGATGAGGGTCTCGACTTCTGCATACAGTCAGGGAACACTTTTGTATGCAGCCGGCATTTCAGTCAGGAAGATTTTGTCACTAGCTGCCTTAAAAGTGGAGTTGTTCTTTCTCTATTCACCTGGAATAATTTCACCGCACCAGCTAAGAGGGAGTCTGCTTTTGCATCTTGTCCTCTCACAGAAAGCTAGCCAGGCTGACGCAGCTACTGCGGACCATGGTTATGTGGTACATCCACCCCCAGGTAAATATCAAATTAAGATGGTACACTGGATACATTTGTCATCCAAGTCATGGAGAGATCAAGTCAATGGCTACATACATGCACTGACTCATAAAATGTATTGATCTTCACGGAGATAATGTCAATAATAAGCTCAATAATTGGCTTTACAGGTGCACTTGATGAAGCACTAGATTACATCAAGGTGTTGGAAGCCAGACTACAGAAAGTGGATTTGTCTTCCACACTTTTTAGTCATTACTTTGCCTCATAATTAATAATAACAAGTAGATAATTTTGTTCCACCTCATTTACCACATGTGATGAAAATGACAATAAACTTGACTTGAACTTATTCAAGCAAGATAAACACAGATCTGCAGAGACACACGAGAAGTGTATAAAAATATGTGGATGTCTGTACGGGGGATTCTTTCCATATTGATGCTGTTTCTAACTGTTATCTACAATAAATCCCGATGTTGCTGTCATCCAGAGACACAGTGTCATCTGTTGTTTACTCAGTGACTGATGTTTGATGTATGTAGTCACTGCATTTGGTGCACCAATGTAGCTGAGTTTTGGTGGACTAGATGCTGCATCCCTGTGCTGATGTGTAATCGGAAATCTCAGGGCCCTGATAAAGTAATTACAATTTTTGTTTATTAAAAGTTTATTTCATATGTTGTTGTTTTTTTCCGTATAATTAGAACATGCTACTGGATGCCTCAAATTTCCCCCTGGGATTAATAAAGCATCTATGTATCTATCTGTCTGTCTGTCTGTCTGTCTGTCTGTCTGTCTGTCTGTCTGTCTGTCTATCTATCTATCTATCTATCTATCTATCTATCTATCTATCTATCTATCTATCTATCTATCTATCTATCTATCTATCTATCTATCTATCTATCTATCTATCTATCTATCTATCTATCTATCTATCTATCCTGTTCAAAATCTGCCACAGGTGTCTGCTTAAACTGCAACACAGTAGTGAATAAGTGAGTCCCAGCTGAATAAATTCTTAAACTGGCTTACCGAGACGTCTGTAAATGAAATTAGTCAGATCTTAAGCCCCCCCACCCCCCTACCCTGAATGTGTCTGAAACGTGGTCATGTTCTTGTTGTTCTCAGGGTTACTGAGTTCAGATGTCAACGTGTTCTTCTGCGTGCAGATTACAACTGCATACTACTGTACAAACCTTATGAAAGAGGGGTGTGGAGAATACAACATAAAATGCTTCAGCAGTTTCAGCCACTAAAAAGAATTGGTCAGAAAATTAACACTTTTGATTGCAGGAATCTCTACCTATATTTGTAGACGAGTTGCCTTGGTGTTGTCGTTTGATAAGAACAGGATTTGACCGAAGAAGCTGGTCTTAACTAAATGCTGAAGATGTGTATTCTGTTAACATATGGGCAAAATAAATAAATAAAGTTAGACAATTATAGTGACATTAAAATGACTAATTTCTCTTGCAGGTTCAGACTCTTAAAAAAGATGTGGTCAAAAACAGTAATAAGAGGAGAGGAATAGAAAGGTGATGTGGCACACACACAAATGTTCAAGCACACAACTTCAGTGGTGTCGTATGTCTTTATCAAAAAGGGCATTGTGAGGGAAGCCTTGTAAGGTAAGTGAAGGGGGAGGAAGTATTTGAGAATTTCACTGTAAAAACATAGTTTTAGTCTTTACATATTGGCTCCTGAAGCTTTTTTAGGAAATACTTCATCATACAATGAATAACAAAATGCATCCAAGTTCAGTTAGCATATCATGCATGTTTTTACTGACTTCTTATTCTGGGCACTTCCAGCTGAGCTTTAATCAGCAAATTTTATTAACTCAAAACTCTAGTTGTAAGCCAACCCTCCCTTTTCATCCAGGGCTGTCCACGACTAATCCAAAATGGGAACACCCCATCAAGGGAGTGTTTTCAGGCTGATGGAGTCTGAGGTTTTCAGTTGGATTTGACTTTCCTGCTATTCTCCACTTACCGGTAACTTTCTTTTAGCATCATCTGTGCAAACGTGTGCCACTGTGTCTGGGCTTTGTGAAATTTCAGCCTTGAAAGTTTACCGAGTTCAAACTAAGGTGTTTTGATTCCGAGCTACAAGTAAGTAAAACACATTTTCTATTTTAAACACTTATAGTGTTGTCCAACTTCTATGACATTTTCAACAGTTAAATACTTGTTTGATTATACATTAACACTGTGGGAAGTTAAACATTTCTCTTGCGGTGAAGGTAGCTGGCATCTTTATACGTTTCCCATACTCTCCTTCTTAGTGATTGCATAAATCTAACTCTGTTTCAGTTTATTCTAAAATGTGTCTGTAAACAAATATTTATGTATTTATAGTGTTAAAACTCAGAAACATGTGAAAATTAAACAAGTCAACCGTATTTTAATCCAATGAGCTGAATATTTTGTATTTTAAGTAACATAATTTCACTTGACCATCCTGCTGCATCTAAATATATCAATTTGCATATTAATCCAGGCATACTGAAATGGGCTGAAATGTATGGAATGTGTTTTTACTATCACAAAATGGAATATGTATAAAAAAATGGTAGAAAATGTTTTAAAAGTTGCAGAAAATAATGATAAATCTCTAGACAAACCATGATTTTTATAACTTTTTTGACTTTCTGTAATCTGTAGAGGCTCTCTTACCATGAAGTTTCCACTCTAAATAGAAAAAAGGGGTAAATTGTGTATTTTGAGAAAGTTAAACCTGCCTGCTTTTTCCGAACAGATTCACAAACACTGTAAAATGTCACTTTGTGAGGCTCAGATTTCTTGTTTCAAAGACTAAAAACTACAGTAATACCTGAGCTTCTTAAAGTATTAAAATAAGCATCACTACCTGAAAATAAATGTAAAAAAAAAAGGTTTTGGTGGACTTTAACTAATCTTTTTTTATTTTGTTGTTATCCTTGTTTAGTCAGATCAGGTTTTTTTTATTGCTGGTAGCAGGAAGCAGTGTTCCCTGTAAATGTTATCTCGTGACCTGTGTGATAACCATTGATAGTGATAAAAAAAAAAAAAGATGATTCAAACTGTAAAAATAAACTGTTGTAATCCTGCCTTTTTTTTTTTTTTTTTACAAGCTCCAATCAACTGAAATGGCAGCAGACAGCATCAGAAAGGAGTCACAGAATGGTTGCACTGACCACACCAAAGACAAACGCACAGCGAAGGCAACGATGCTTCACAAAGATGTGAGTGTCCATTGTCTGGCTGCTTCAAGAGGGTGTCTGAGAAAGCGGATTGTTAGATGTTCACACCACAGATTTCCATCATTTGTACCTTTTGCATGTTAGGGGTTAAGGCTTGGTACCAGGCAGTGCTGCTACAAATGTCACTGCAAATTAACTGTGCAACCAAAGGTGCTGTCGGGGCCGTCTAAGCACCCTGAGTCCTTTAAATATATTTAAGGGGACTGAAAGTCTTTCAAAACATAATACAGCTGTTGTTAACAAATCATTAACCATTATGTCATTGTTGAACCTTTTAGGAAATTTATATATATATATATATATATATATATATATATGTATTAACATCTTTGTGAACAAACTCACAGCCTCCACTGACAGAGCCCAAACCAGAGTGATAATAAAAAAATATATTAGGAATTCCTTTGTAAGTGAGTTGAAATGTCTTTCAGTCTAGTTGGTTTCTTATCTTGCACTGCCATAAAAGAGACCTCTTTGTTCAGTTAAATTATACTATCCATGGACTTCCCTCCTTTATTCAGCTCAGTGGTTTCTAATTCTTCTGAACACCCGCAGGAAGACAGAAAAGAAGGATATTTATGGTGTGCTCACTATGAAAACTGCAGGTCGAGCTGACTTTTTTTGTTGATCTACAAACACCAAAAGCCCAAATACATGTTCAGCATAGCACATTTTTGATATGGAATATATTAGAATGAGTGTGGGGATGATTTACAGAAAAATAAAATAACGGCTAAATTAAAGGTTAATGTTTAGTTTCCACTGCAAGCTAAGAACACGGATGTGCAAGGAACTTAGTTTCTTGTGTGTTGCTTTGAGGGATACAGTAAATTAGGATTATCCTGAGATTTTTCCATCCATCCATCCATCCATCCATCCATCCATCCATCCATCCATCCATCCATCCATCCATCCATCCATCCATCCATCCATCCATCCATCCATCGT